AGTCCCATTTGTTGATTCTAGTTATTAACTTTTGTGCTATGGGTGTCCTATTGAGGAATTTGGAGCCCGACCCCACAGTATGTAGATCGTAGCCAACTTTTTCTTCTATCAGACGGCGTGTCTCTGATTTGATATCAAGCTCCTTGATCCATTTTGAATTAACTTTTGTGCATGGCGAGAGAAAGGGATTCAGTTTCATTTTGTTGCATATGGATTTCCAGTTTTCCCAGCACCATTTGTTGAAGATGCTATCCTTCCTCCATTGCATGCTTTTAGCCCCTTTATCAAATATAAGATAGTTGTAGTTTTGTGGATTGGTTTCTGTGTCCTCTATTCTGTACCATTGGTCCACCTGCCTGTTTTGGTACCAGTACTGTGCTGTTTTTGTTACTATTGTTGAGCACAGATTCTTATGTTGGTTCATATCCGTTCTGACTCACAGTAACCAGTATTCTGCCTTAACCTCAGTAGTCACTCAAACATGGAAGGCACACTATTCAAAAAAGATGGCTCTATGTGGGGCTGGAGACAGCTATCATAATAGGTATGCTTCACTACAGACAGTGTAGTAATCCAGGAGGGAAAGAGATGGCATTTAAGAGGGGTCTTAGAAATTAGGGTAGGCTTTAGAATTTGAGATAGTAGAAATATTTCATTTTGATTGAATATGGGGTTCGAAGAAAAGCAGAAAAAGGTAAGCTTAGAAAAATTTTAAAGATCAACTGGGAAGGTCTTAATTCCAAGCAAAAGGATCTAAATTGTTTTCATAACCAAGGAGGAATGATTAAAAGTGCTAGAGATCTCCCTGATGTATGTTTAAGTAGGAGCAAGAGAGACCAGAATAATAGATAGATTGGGCAAAATTAAAAACTGAAAAATTAAACCAGCCTCTATTTCCAGCTTCTTTACTTTATCCCCACTTTTTTCAACTTTTGTTTTTCAAGTTTTAGGTGGATGACTATGTTCCCTGAGCTATAAGCTAAAGAACTAACCTACATAAATACACTTCAATTCAGTAATCCAGTTTTTAAACATATAGCAAAATCAATCTGTCATATTTCATATAAATTGTGATTGTGCTTTAGATTGTGACAAGGAAGCAGAAAACTTCACTGATACTCCTTTCCAGGTGTTTGCCATCCCACATCTCTTATGGCAGTGTTCTAGCAGATAAGAATTATTAGCATCTCCTTTGCCTTCTTCTCAAGCTTACTCTTTTTCAGTTCTTATCTCTGCTAGATCTCTTGCTCTATCAGCTTGCTGTCCTGAACTTCAGGTTCATCTATTCATACATTCAAAAAGTAGAATCACCTTGATGAGAGAGAACACTCACACAAAGGCTGCTTTACTGGAAGCACACAGACACAGCTGTCTTCTGGGATGCCTGGGACACCTGTCCTATGGAACTTCTCTTACTGAAGGAGTGAAAAAAGTCACATACCTAGAAGTTTTGCAATAGCTCCCGTTCTTGCCAATTTCTCTTCCCATTCTTTGGGACCGAGAAGTCAATTAATCAGGCCCAAAATACAATTCCTTCTGCCATCTTTTAGGATCAGTCCTATAAATGGGAGAGTCTGAGTAGACTTCCATTTAATGGAAGATAATCACTGACCAAAAATATCTCCCCAATATAACCTAAAATTCATCAATTTGGGATTCATTTGAGTTAAAAAACAAACAAAACAACAACAATAAAAACAAACAAACAAACATGACTCTGGACAAGATAAGTTAGAAGGGACTTTGCAATCAGCTTCTACATTAGGGAAACAATCTAACTGATCTGACCCACTTGAAGAGAATGGGAGTGTGATTTGAGGGGAAAGGGTAAGGGAGAAGGACAAAGTATAGAAAATCTTTAGGCCATTTTGGAACATGCTGTGTTTCCAATGAAAAATCCAAGGAGGGTAAGAATGAGGGCACTGGGATCCTGGAAGCTAGCAAATGAAGGCTAGCCAAGCCAAGATAAAGGAATAATAAAGAGCCATAGCTCAAAAAGTTTAGTGAATGAGCTACAAAGGTTGAATTTTCCTTGGAAATTTCCAATAGCTTTCTCCAAGGTCCTCATGTACTCCTAAAGGTTCAACCCAGCTCTCACTTTCTGTGGGACCATTCACAAAAAAGTGGAATGTACCACAACCTATTTCACCAAATGAGGCTTGGAGTGGTGGATATAGAGCTAACGCCAAGAACGGGAGATCAAATATGATACCAAAAGAGCTGGAACCAAAAATGGGATTTAGTTTGTTAAAATGACAGGTGTCTAGAGATGTTTTTTCCCATCCTAAATTTTCTTCAAACTATTTATGGTGGAAATTCTGAGTATGCCTGGGTCTAAGAAATATGTGATTGGCAATCCACCATTGAGATTCACCAAGCTCCAATAAAACTATTTCAACTGAGCTCAGAAAATGAAAAATGCAGTAAGGCAGAGTTTTGCAGACACACAAACAATGAAAGTTAGTTTCCCCACAAACATTTCCAAAACATATAATTAAACTAATTATCTTCAAAAGTTTTTTAAACTAAGGGTAACACATGTGTTTAGAGTGAAAATACCCATTATAGCTTGCTCCCTGCTCAAGATAGTCCTGTCCACATGAGAGATTGTAAGGCACATTGTTCTCCTTCCCCTAGAGAGCCAGTGACATGACTCATCCAAGGTCTATAAGCCTTGCCTGCTCATTTCCAATTTCTTCACCTCAATTTAATAGCTTCTTCCCTACTGTAAACATAATTACCTCAATGTACACCTGTACACCTTTGTCTTTTTTAATATAAAAATATATTTCTAATCCTGTCCTAATTGCACATGACCAATTCTATCTTAACCCTTCCTATTTCATTCCCACTACCCTTCCACCAGTGGCAAAAGCTCTCTGGAGGTTGATTATTTACCTCTCAGACATTTGACCCTATCGAATTTGGCACACAAATTACTCAAAAGAAAAAGAAGTTATTTTGGCTTTATTATTTATTCAGATGAAATATTGCACACTCCATTCTGTCATTCCTCACATCTCCCACATCACATACAATCCCTCTAGACTGTTTAAAGAGCAAAGATAACAAAGGTTCTCTACTCTTTTCCCCACCTGCTGTTTCCCCACCTGTATAGCTACCCTATCCAACACAGTCACTGTTGTTATCCAAAAATCTGGCAATGGTCCCAGAATTTGAAAATTACAGTGGCACTTTCCCACTGGCTAAAATCCTTGTTTCTTTTTCAGCATTAATCACTCTTTTATAACTCAATATCCCCATTCTTCAGCAATTCCCTCTTCTGCTTTATATGCTGCACTCTCCCCTTTATAGGTGACCAACTCTCAATATCATTGTTTCACAACCATTTGTAAACCCTGCTCTTTTCAAAAGATGTAGCTGGACTCTAACCTTGGTCTCCTGAATCACAGAGCATGATATAGGACTGATAACAATAGCCAATTACATCTGCACAAGTACCTGACCTTAACCAAATGTTTTCACATTCATTCTCCTCTTATTCGAGTCTCTCAATAATCCAGAGAAGAATGAATGTTTGCCGCAGTCTGGATGGGCACAAAATAACTGGGCCACCACACCGCCTTGTAGATTCAAACAGCAATTCTTTATTCCCGAACTCTCACTGGCACTCTACACGCACGTTCTGGGAAAATTCACCTCCACCAGGCTCTGCGTACCAAATACTCTCAGAACCCCGCGAGAACTCCACAGGAACTCCAGGAGTGGGAGTCTGAGGCAGCAGGATATGCCCTATTCCCAGCAGGATCCACCCTAAACCTGGAACCGCCCTATTCCCAGCAGGATCCACCCTAAACCCGGATCCACCCTAATCCCTGAGCAGGGTCACCTTTCAACCAAAACTCTCAAACATTCATGCAATGTCACTGCAAATGACCTGGGTCCAAGGCAAGCCCATTTCCACAATGGAGAGTCCTCCCTCTAAGCAACATTGGGTAGGCTGACAAGGAAATTGCCATGTGTCATTCCTACTTGGCTATGGCTCTCAGCAGTTCTTCCTATTTACTACCTGAGGAAACTACAATTCAGCAAGGATCAGATGACTATTCTGAGCCAAGAGATATTTAAATGACAGAGTCAAGAGTCAAACTGGGAACTTCAAGGTCAAACCCCAACTCTTTCCCCAGACACATGTCTCAGAATATACTGAGCTGTCAAAGCAAGCCCTATATCTTTGATGCAAGTTTACAGTGATAATGTAGCTTCATCCTCTTGCCTACTCTGTATCACCATTTTTACTCTATTTCCTATGCTAGCACCAGTCCTTGACCCCACCCTGCCCTTTCAACTTCCCATGGATCTGCTAATTAAACCAAGCTCTTTTCTTCTGATTTGAACATAGTCCTATTCTTTCTCTACTAGTACCTTTTTCACCTAATGATTTACTCACACTGTGGCTCAAGAGCCACAATCTCTTAACCACAAATTCTGTATAAGTACACACTAATTTATAGTTTCAGCTCCATAATCTCCATCCTCTCTCTCTCTTGCCCTGTTGAAATCCTCTAGCTTAGAGTGTAAGCTCCTGCCCAGAAAGCTCATTTTGCCAGCTATGGGTATCATTCCATACAAAGCCATACATTCAAAGGCTCATAACATTAACAATTATGATATTTTTAAAACAAATTACTTCTGTCCTTGATCTGAAATAATGACAGAAACCAACTACAAAGACTACTAAGAACATCATTTTTATTCTGATTCAGAGTTTCTTTAAATAGGAATTAGTTTATCAGAGCTGTAAAGTAGATGACAAGGGAACATATTTTTCTGTGTGGTCCGAAAAGTATAACATGAAATTTGGAACAATTTGTTATTAGCTTCCCATCACCAGCAATAGTCCAGCTCTACTGCACAGCAAGGTCAACCCAGGTAAGAGAATGGCAGTTACTAGCGTTCCTGATATAAGGAGGAGGTGGTCAGTTATTCCAATTGCATACATGCTCTGGAAAAGCACCAGGTGGCTGCATATTACTTACAGGTTTGTCCTTGATGGTGGGACTTGACACACACAGGTACAGTTTCCCATCTTCTTCTAGGCAGGCATCTATCAAGGCTTGTACTGAGCTCTCCTCCTGGAAGAGCAGAAACGCATAGCCTTGGGGAGAACAAAAACAAAAGGACAGGGAGGAATCAGTAAATTAAACTCAAAGTACCTGTCTGTTGCTTCATTTTGACAAATTTTTACTAAAATTTAAGACATTCAAGTGGGACGACAAAGAGACTTGAGACCCCCATGTGCCAGGCACTATGCTAGGTGTGCATGACATTACCTTGCTTAAACATCCCTGACTGAGCTAGCTGGGTGCTCCAACATTACCTTTTACTCAGGGGAGCAAGCTCAGAACACCTCTATGGAATTTCTTCTAACTAGGTCTCATCATGATTAATGAGGGCAGGTAGATTCACCCTGGGCATGAACCACAACTAGCAGCCAGGAAATAAGCATCACTTGCCTCCAATTTCCACCAAGCTATACGATACAACTGGGATGAGCCTTGAAAATATTATGCTAACTGAAAGAAGCCAGACCAAAATATCATATCCAGAATAGGTAAATTAAGACAAATAATAGATTAGTGGTATCTGTAACTGGAGGGCTAGAGGGAACAGACACAGAGTTTCCTTTGGGAATGATAAAACTTTTCTAAAATTGACTGTGGTGATGGTTGTAAAACTCTGTGGACATACTAAAAAACAATGAACTATACATATTAAGTTGGTAAACTGTATAGTATGTGAATTATACCTCAACAAAGTTGTTTTTTACATATTAAAACTGCTACTACTGCTACTTTTTTTTAGGGTTACCTTCCTAGCATAATATATTATCTATAAACATGAACATTAATTGCAGGATTTCCCTGGACACAATCAGTTTTTAAAACTGTATCCTTTATTGCACATAGTAATTGTATATATTTAGGGGCATAGTGTCATAAGCTGATACATATATATAATGTATAATGATCAAATACAGGTAATTAGCATTTTCCTCTCCTTAAAACAGTTATCACTTCTTTGTGTTGGGAAGCTTTAAACTTCTCTATCCTAGTTCTTTAGAAAATATATAGGGCTGAGGGTATTACTCGGTGATAGAGCACACTGCCTACATGTGAGAAGCCCTGATTTAATCCCCAACACCAATAAAAATAAACAACTCATTGTGAACTATAGTCAACCTATTGATAGTTTAATTCAGTAAGATTTATTGATTAATTATTACAAGTGGGACACGGTCTATGCATTATGAGAACACTGAAATGAGTGAGACCAGATTCCTGAAGTCAAGAGACTTATGGAGCAGAATAAGCAGACATTTGAACAAAACTATAACTACAAAGCTGAGGGAGAAAAGTGGGGTGGGCCGGAGGCAGTGCCACAGGAGCCCTGAGGAGTGAGGACTCTGATTTAGGAGAATCGGCAAAGACTTCAAAGAGAACAACAGATGTTCAGGGGGCCAACTCTGACACTTGTTGCCACAATGGCATTCATGAATGGCAGCTGAGCAAAGGCCCATCATGAGCAAGTCTAAGCCTGATTACTCAACTATTCATCCTCTTTACAACCCTAATAGCTTTGCTAAATCTCTCAGCTGTCACCCCAATTCCCAGTCCTGCTACTGACCTCAAAGAAAATCATCACCAATACTGTTTTCTGGTGCTTTGTGTGTTGGAACAATGTAACTGGTGGAGAAGGACAAGAACCCCTATATACAGAAGATTTTTATACATCATACAAAGATTTTTAATTCACAATCAACTGGCTATAAATCAAAGTCCTCTTGTGTCCCGGTAGGTAATAAAATTGTCACATAATGACAGCAGCAGTGGTAATTGCTGTTCTTTTATTTAGACTTTTCTTCAAACCTTCATCCACATAGAGAGTATTCAGGTAAGCACAGCAGGAAAAAGATGAGCTACTTCACAAAACACCAGGAAGTGGCCATTGTAACAGGCAAAAGCCAGCACACAGGCGAATGCACCTAGCTGAATGGGTGGGCTGGCAGCTACAAGAAAGAGGCTTTCTAGAGTTAGGACTTAGAGCTGTTTTCTGGACTTTGTTCCCAGGCTAGCTGGGTCAAAAGATTCAGTAGGTGACTAGGCAGGAAAAATAAAACCTAACTGAAAAAGTAGAAAAGATAATACATCATTTCTTTCTCCTCTCTTTTGCAAACAGTATCAAACTATCAACAAGTCCTGGGGACTTTATTAGAAATTCAGTGTTTTAATTTAGTGTAAGAACATTAATTCTACATGTCTAGAGAATATTAGAAATGAGTGAGTTAAAAAAAATGCAAATATTACAAAAAGGAGGTCTGGAAAGTCCCCTTAAACCTCCTATCTTACCAGGCTAAATTCTGGTTCAGAACTTCCACAAAGGTCATAAGGAAGTATACTGAGCATCTTACCCTTGGAGAGGAGCCCATTTGTTTGTACATTATGCACAGTCATATCAAAAAGGCCTGGAAGCCAAGCATGGCAACACATGCTTATAAACCCAGCAACTGGGGAGGTTGAGGCAGGAGGATTGCAAGTTCCAGGCCAACCTTGGCAACTTAGCAGGACCCTACCTCAAAATAAACCATAATAAGGAGAAGGGAGTGTATCTGAGTAGTACAGTACTCAGTGAGTTGGGGCTTTCTCTAGTTCCTTGCCTCTGGAAGGTCTCCAGCTGACAGCACCTTTCTTCCACACCACTGCTCACCCTCTCTGCTATCTCCCACATCAACTCCAGTTTTGAGTCACCCTTGAGCATCAGAGAAAGGGAAGTTGTCTCTCCATAGCACCTAAGTAGTTACCACAAAAGCAAGCAGATTTTCACATAGACCTATATCATAGCCATAGATGTCTACACTAGCAGTAGACAAGTAAAAACAACTATGACTCACAAGTAAAAGCCTGTTACAAATATTAATACCAAGAGAAAAGACATATAAAAACCTTTTTCACCTTTCCCAGGTAACAGTCCATCACAGTTTACCAATTTCTTCAGGATGGTTATTTTACAACAAATAATTTTGTGTCAAAACAATTCATCTTTTCCAAAGTCTCTATATTGATAATATCTGTTAGGACTACAGATAAAGGATGTGTCTGAACACCCCTCTGAGCTGTAATCTAACAATTTCCTTCCACTTTTTTTCCCACCAAAATAAAATTTACCAGAATACCCATAAGCCATCCACGAAAACCTTGCCTAACTAAAATGCTTGATACCTCATGGTCAAGCATATCCTGATGACAAGAGACATTATAGAATTTTTTAAACTCAGGAAGAAAGAATTCTTCAAACCCATTTCCCCTTAGATCTTTTTTTTTTTTTAAATATTTATTTATTCTTTTTTAGTTTTCGGCAGACACAACATCTTTGTTTGTATGTGGTGCTGAGGATCGAACCCGGACCGCATGCATGCCAGGCGAGTGCGCTACCGCTTGAGCCACATCCCCAGCCCCCCCTTAGATCTTGACAAGTAAATATAAGGTCAAAGTAAATAATGGACAAAAGGATATCCTCAAGAATAACAAGGTCAATGTAAGGTAGAAATTAAATCAATGATTTACTAAAGAGTAAATTCCACACGGTACTCCTGATCCAAGAAGAGTCCTGGATCAGGAGTCAGGAGGGCTGGATTTAGCTACAAGTCCTAACATTTACTAGCTGTATGATAGTAACAGCTAACATTTATTGAATGTTTACACCAGGCACTGACCTAAATGCCTTGTATGTATTAACTCACTTCATCTTCACACACACCCTATGAAGTAGACATTATTTTAATTGTTTTATTACAGTTTAGAAAACTGCACTGGGAATCAAGTGTCTTGTTTGAAGTCATCTAGTAAATGAAAGTACCATGAACTTGAAGCTGGGTATGAGGGCACATGCCTGTAATCCCAACTGCTTGGGAGGCTGAGGAGGAGGATTTCAACTTCAGAGTCAGCATGGGCAATTTAGTAAGACCCTGTCATAAAATAAAACAAAACAAAAGAAAAGAAAAGAAACGGGGATTTAGGTCAATGATACAGCACTTGCCTAGCATGCATGAGGCCCTGAGTTTAATCTCAAGTACCATGATCTTGAATATTAATTTAACATTTTTGAGATTCAGGCTCTTTTCTCTATAAAATGAAGAAACTAAATATTTGTCCTGATTATTTTACAGAAATGTAGGTTGTAAGATAATATATGTAAAGGTGCTTTATGAACTAGGGGATCCTGCAAGTGTTGATTTTTCATTTTCAGCACTTTCAATTATTTGTATGATATATAAAATTAAAATTGGGTTATTTCATATGGTCTCATTATAAAAATTAGAATTAAACTAATGATGTGCACTTTCTATTTTCCCTCTATAAGTGTTTGGTGAGTAAAGGGAAGTAACCTAGATACTGAAGAAAAGTCCTAATTAAAGATTCTGAAGATATGCTGAATATTACTATAAACAAACAATAAGGTGACTGAATATCTACTTTCACATATTCCTAGCCATTTCTACCAAGAGAGAACTGTCAGGGGTAGTATTATTTGCTGATTATACCTATAAATACAGCTTCTCTAATCATTCTATTGATGGCAGGTTGTTCTATTAGTTTGGAAGGCATAAAAAACAAAATAGAACACTTGACCCAAAACTTGTCAACTCCCTCAGATCTCCCTTGTAACTCTGAGCCAGGAACAGATAATAGGATTATAAAACTCCTCCATTTTCAGAAATAGTGACCTGAGGAGTGTGTGGGGGCTTCAGAAATGTGGTGAGCTGTGGGAGGCCCTTAGCCCAGGAACAGTCTATGGGAGGAGACATGGCTTTAGAGGGAACAGGAGGAATTCTTGCCCACTGTCAGTATCATGACCCTGGGTTGACAAGTAGAATGGATGGAAGGAAATTCCTTGTTTTCTCACTGGTACCAAATAGGTTGGAGGAAGAAGGGTAGAACAGCAAGGGACTTTAGGATGAGAATGATTGACGAGTACAATTTTCTTGGGGGAAAAAGGCACAGGAAAGTTGGGGAAAAAAACTTAATTAGGATAATTCCATTTTATTTGGCCACATTTTTGAAGGGTAAACTTAATTAAAATTTTTTTCTCTTAATACCT